AGGTATTCCTCACCTCGCTGCTATGAATGTGGTCGCTGCCATACATAACAATTTTATCAACAAATTCTGTAAACGAATTTGGAATCCACGTTCGTATGATAAAGGATTATGGGAACATACGATGAGCATTTCTCCAAAACTTAAACAATCTTCAAGGCCTAAAGGTTTGCCCAAATCTTCTTATTTACCTTACTCGTCTTTACCACCTCCGACCCATGTTGATTCACGTGACTCTGGAACCGATTGGTTAAAAAACTCGATGCAATATGGATTATCTTGGTTTAATCACATTTCAGGTTTTATGGGTCGTCTAACGGTGCTACTTAATAACCGCTTTTGCAGGATGGAGTGTCGATTTTAATAGTGGGCGCGTCATTCGTTATTTTGTTAGCATAGTTGCTTCTACTTTGGTTGGAATATATCAAGGGGGGAGATCTAGGAAGTGTTAGTATTAACGAATTTTCTTTTGAACTTTCTTTTAATTTTAATTTCTTTCTAGGAGACTATATAGCTTTGTTTTTAGTTAGTTTTTATTTTATTTTCTTTTTCTTATATGTAATTTTGTAAAGTTTGATAAATAATTAATAAAGATAAAGGCTACTATGCCATGTTTGCCCGAAAGTGTGACTTATGACCTGTTTTGGAGATATCCGGGGTCCTTGGCAGGCCAACAAAATTGGGAAGTAAAATGACTTATACAGTCAAAATAGAAGAGAATGAAAGTAAACTTATTTATATCATATAGTAACAAATTTTTTTAAATTATCATCAATAGGATAATTGTGAAATTTAAGAATAACTTCTATAGTTGAACTGAAAATCGTCAAGTCAGAAGAATAGAAGGAAGAAGAATTAGAGTGATCCTTGACTAATTCATTACTAGCCCAGTTATTCAGGATATTTGTATTATAGGTGGTAACCTTAAATAGATTAATAAATAGATTTTTGCTTTTATAAAAAGAGCAAAAAACTATCCAAAGTAAATGATTCTTCATTTGAAGTTATTTCAATTGGAATGGTATAGAAAGTACTTGCTGTATAAATAAGATAACAGCTTGTAAATTAGTATAAAAAGTGACTGTAGTATTATGAAATAGGATTTCAAGAATAAAAAGAATGGCTTGTAGTTCAATATGGAGGAAGAGCTATGCTAAGGTAATAGTAAAAGAGTGGTAAGACAAGATGTAATCAACTTGCATTCAGTCAAGGCTAAAAGAAACATTAGAAATGCCAAAATTAGAAACTGAGCCATTAGTGTAAAATGCATAATTATTATCTATCATAAGAGTCAGGAAAGATAATGAAAGTTCATTAAATACAGGAGGAATATTAGAATTTTCATCAATAATAAAACCAGAAGAAGAAGAAAACCTATTACAAAAAGAAATTAAAGTAGAAAAAAAATAATAAAAAGAAAAGGATAAAAATAAAAAGTAGATAAACGAGGCAATCTAATTATCCAGTATGTGGTGAAATAAAACTAATACACAGAATTATGAGCATTTTTAATCAAGGTCTTAAAACGTTTAATGCATTTTGTGTTAAATTGACAATCAGAATAAGGGGCGGATAATTATATTTGTTGAATGAAAAGTAAGTCCATTTGAAGGAATAGCAGGAGAAGTGATCTAATGAGAAATAACAGCTTCACCAGAAGCTGAGATTTGTAAAGTGTGACCAATAAGTAAATCAGAAGAGTAAAAAGTAGTTTCGTCAGATGGAGGATCATGAACTTTATTCTTTATTTCCAATACGACATGAGAGTACAGCCATCCAAGTATTTTGCATGGTAGTTGAAGAGGAAAGATTAAATTGCAGAAGAGAAGGAGTAAAGTATAGCAGAAAACGTTCATTTATCCAGTAATTAGGAAGGAGTCAATGAGAAAAAGGCGAGATAACCAATCCAATGAGTGAAGTATACCATAAATATCAGTAACCTTAATTAATTAAAGGATGTTTTATTATTATAAAATTCAGTTTAAACAAAATTATGTTATATTACATTTATTTTCATTTATTTTTCAAATAAATAGGTTTTATTTTTATCACATATATAAATAAAGAGTAATGTATAACTAAAAAAACTAATACAAATAAATAGCCATCTACTTTAATATATAATGAACAGGCAGACAATAGAACATTTGTAAAGCTGATATATATAAATAATATATAATCTTTTACTTTGCTCTAAATAGAACTCTACTTACTTATAATAAAGGTTACCATAAAAAATTGGCCCTTTACTGATAGTTTTTATCTTACTTTTTTTTTAAAATTCTATTGGTTAATTAGTTAAAAAGAAAAAAAATTATAATAATGTAACATAAAATTTCCTTTTATAGTAGAATCTGTGAAGAATTTTATATATGATTTTATTTTAGATCTAAAGGTATAATATGATCTATTAAAAAATATAAATTTTAGGAAATAAAATTTGTGTGCACTCGTGTATGTGTGCACTCCTCCATTTTTGGTAATTTTTATATAGTAAATTTGTCAATTATCAATTATCATGTGACTTTAGTAAAATCCTGATTTTTTTAAATATTTATACTGCAACTTTTATATTATAGAACCTTAAAATTTTATTTATTATGCGTATTTTTGCCCATTCTACAACTTTACTTAATGAGTCATGAAGGGTTTAAAATGTTATTTTTGACTTTTATATATAATATATCCATAGAGATGCATATATACATAAGTGCACATAAATTTTAAACCCTAAATTTTAATATAAATTTATTAATTAGTTTTTTTCACTTTTTAATATTTTTAAAAAATTAAAATTTTTATAAAATTATATAAGTTTTGCTAATTTACCCCCCAGGTTAAATAATCCAAATTAAATTACTTCCCTAAAAATTTTATATTTTATACCAACTAATTTTGACTGGTTAATTTTAATTTATTTTTGTTAAAAATTTGCAACACTTTTATTTGCAATTATTTTTTGTACTATAATGGTTTATTTATTTAGTAATTATAATATATACCGTAAAGTCCCAAATATAAGCAACCTATTTTTGTTATAAGGGTGCTTATATTCAGGTAATTTTAACATTGGGACATAATATAACTCTGGAAAAGAATTTTTAGCTTAAACTTTCAAATAAAAATTAATACATAACGTAATTTTCAATTATTGCGGTTTTGCAATTTTTAAATTTTGTGAAACATTCGTGCACAGCATGACAATCATATCCTTAAAACGCGTTAATTTTTTTAATCAACTTTTAAATAACTTTCTTCAAGTTATCAAAAATGATATTTTTTCATACAAAGAAAAGCTACAATAAATAATGCCACAAGTTGCCAAACACAAACAAATTGTCAAACATAAACGAGTTGTCAAACGTAAAGCCTTCAAAAGTAATGTTAAACGAACTTCATACTCTATTAAACAAAAAGAAGAAGTTGTTAATTACGCAAAAGAGTATGGAAGAAATAGCGTGGCAGCTCACTTTGAAATTAACAAAAGTATGGTTGGACGCTGGGTTAAGGTGAGTATAAACTGGACAGATGAAATAAACAGAAATATTAAGAAAGTTAGTACAGGGCGAAGGGTTTTTTATCCTGAAGTTGAGAAAAAGCTCTATGACTGGATAATTGAACAAAGGAAACAGGGGTTTGCTGTAACCTATTCAATTATACGAGTTAAGATGCTAGAAATTTTGAGAGATCCAGATATTATAGTTCTTTATGGGAATTTAATGAACGATTTTAAGATGTCTAATCGTTGGTTATATGCATTTATGAAGCGGCAAAAATTATCTTTGCGACATCATACAAAGATTTCACAAAAACTTCCACAACAAACTGAACAATTGTTAGAAAGTTTTTATCGATTTGTTACTCGCCTTAGAATTGAAAAATCATATAAGATGTGCAACATCTTTAATATGGATGAGACCCCAGTGTATTTTGACATGGCGGGTAATTTTACTGTCAATTAAATAGGTGAAAAAACCGTTCATATTTGTGGGACAGGTAATGAAAAAAATCGATTCACTGTTGTTCTTACTTGTGCTGCTGGTAAGTACTATAGTAGGTCCTATTACTAGCAAAACAATCTTAAAAAAATTTTTAAAATACAGATGGGACCAAATTGCCACCAATATGTATTTTCAAAGGAAAAAGATTAGGACGTGGTGAACAAATTCCATCTGGTGTGGTGGTTTGGTTCCAAGAGAATAGTTGGATGGATTCAAAATTAATGATTAATTATATTGACTATTTTAACAATAATCGATCTAGAGATCCAACTATGCTTGTTTATAATTCTTTTAGGAGCCATCTTGAAGAATCTGTTAAAGCAAAATTTCATGATAACAATATTGATTTAGCAGTTATTCCAGGTGGGTTGACAAGCATCTGTCAACCACTTGATGTTGCTATAAACAAGCCATTCAAGGACAACCTTCGCAAAGAATGGCACTTGTGGATGGCAAATGATGGTGCTGGAGAAACTACTGCAGGAAACCTTAGACGTGCTAAGTATAGTGCATGGAAAAATATATCTAACGAGACCATAATTAATTCTTTTGTAAGTTGTGGTATAACAGATTCGTTAAATAGTGATCATGAAGAATTAGAAATTTCAGATATTGATGATACTTCGTAAAATTGTAATAGGGATTATTATTAGTTTCGCATTTATTTTTTTACAAACATTTTATATATAATTTTGATAATTCTATGACATTTATGCTTTAATTTCAATAAAATTACCATATAATCAATATATGCCATATCAGCTGATCGAAAAAGTCCCCCAATATTTTTGGGGTGAGGATAATAAACAAAATATGATATAGTATTTTACTAAAAATAGATCATTAATTTGATCAGTGTATTACATTATTAAACGTTAACTGTTAAATTTTGACTATAAAATTCTAAGAATTTACATTCAGCAAGACGCTGATCATTTTTAAGATATACGCGTAAGAATTAATTTTTTTTGAAAAAAATTTACATTTTTTTTTTTTAAAAAAATGGAAACTAATGATGCTCCTTTATCAGTTAAGAAAAAAAGACCTATTGAAATTCATAATTATCCTAAAGAATCTGTTATTCAATATTCCGATTCTGAACGAAGCTATACCTATAATATTATTAAAGAAGGAACTTATCCACCTGCTGCTTATCTCAAATATACAAAAGGTCAAAAAGGGTTTCGAATACCTGATAATTATGAAGTTGAAACTAGTTTGAGAAAGCCTAAAACAAGACAAATAGTTAAATGTATAATCAAATATGTGGAAAAAAAACCGGTCTATTGGGTATACTATGGAGATAAGTTTCAATATCATGTAAAGTCAGAAAAATCAAGCTCAGATGTAGCATGTTTATATGCTAAAGTATGTAATTATTTATTAATAAATCGTAATTAGTAAGTGCTTTATTAATGCAAAGGATAATTTTTATAATAGGCTTTAAATCCTGAAACTAAAACACGCTATTCTGGTCCACATTTTTTTGGTCTTCATTTAGAAATACTTCAACAGACAAGAGATATTTACCGACGAGCAACAGTTTTAAAATCATTTGACAATTTAACTCAAACTGGACAAAATAATCGAGCTAAAAAAATTGCCAAGTCTATATCTGCAATATTTGATCAAGAAACAACTAAATGTTGTCATTTAGATGATGATTCTAATTTAAAATCAATTGAGTTTAGTATCAGAGATAATTCTTTTTACTTTAGTTTTAATGAAGATAACGTTGAAATAAAGCATAAAGCAAGAGCTGCCGTACAAGCATGTGATAAAGGTCAGGTAACACGAGAAAGATATCGAACTTTAGCTTCGATCAGTCAAGATCTACCACGTGAATGGAAAGTTTCTGCAGAAAAGAAAGATATTACATATGAAATGAACGAAATTATACCAATTTCTCTTATAAATATAACACCATCACCATCTGATAATTCTGTAAATTCAGAAATACATATTAATGATACCGAAATTATTGATAATTTACAACAATCAATTGGAAAAGGAGGGCGACGAGACATTGTTAATATTTTAAGATATTTAATACCAGGTCTTCTTGAAAGAAATGTATTAGATATAACAAATCCTACAATACATTTGCGAATTTCTGGTGATGGGAGAAACGTTGGACGAAAGGTTAAACAGGTCATGGTTACCTGCTCAATTCTTAATGATCTTGATAATATATATCGACCTGAAAATTATTATACCATAATTTTATATTCTGGCATTGAAAAGTATGAGATTTTAAATGTTGTTTTAGAACCACTAATTATGGAATTAAGGAAATTAAAAGAAGAGGGATTTAGAGATAATCAGAATAGAGAATGGAAAGTTGAACTTTATTTTTCATCAGATTGGAAGTTCCTTGCAATTTGTTTAGGATTAAATGCAGCAAATAGTAAGTATTTCTGTCCATGGTGTGAGGTATCTAAAGAAAAACAGGGTGATTTTTCATATGAATAGATAATTAATAAAACTATAGATCAAATTCGTGAAAATTACACATTTTATAAGGGTCATGTTCGACCAGCAATTTTTGATATGATTCCTTTACAAAACTGGGTTCCAGATGAACTGCATATTATGTTGCGTATAACAGATGTTCTTTGGCGGCTTGTGATTGATGAACTCAAATCCAGAAATACTTGGGGAGATAGAGCAAGAAATGTAATAGTTGAAGAAATGAAACGTGTTGATGTTAAATTTCATTTTTGGCTTGAAGTAGGATCGACAAATTGGCAATATACTTCTTTAATGGGGCAAGATAAATTAATTGTACTTCAGCATTTTGATTTAACTAAACTTTTTCCAAATTCACGAGCAACTCAAATCCGAAATTTGTGGGATAATTTTTATTTACTTCATAAAGCAATGAAAGATCAAAAAACTGATGCGAACCAATTTTCTGATGATGCACGTGCATGGTTACACCAATTTTTAGATTCTAATTATTTTTATCAAGCGGGTGATATTACACCTTATATGCATGTATTAGTTTATCACGTTCCAGAAATGATGCGTATTCATCAAAAATTTGGTTTAGCAGCATTTTCTTGTTCGGCAGTTGAAAAAAAAAATCACCAACAAGTTTCTCATTTTTTTAAAAAACAACAAAAGATGGTGGTGTCGGAAAAGGAAGAAAATCTGCAATTGTAAATATTCTTGAATACGAAAATAGAGTTTTATATTTTAATAATCATAATATGGTTGATTTAATTCGATTACCAAAACGTTTGCGTATCAAGTAGTATTTGTAATAGAAATATATGCTTTTTCATTTTTTTTTCAATGTATTATTTACAAATTTCATAATAAAATTTGATCTTATTTTTGCCACTTATATTTACATGATTTTCAACCCTTCTATTTTTAATATAAGTTTTCTATATCTCTCATACGTGAAATTGTAAAGTTTATAAAGATAAATCCTGATGAATATACAATATTTCGTACATCTGATTTTTCTTTTCTTTTCCAGCCAATAATGATTTGTATGGGTTTAAGTTTGCAGATTCGGCATTTTTTAGCTTTATATATTTTTACTTGATTTTGTTTTTGAAGAGGATCGGGTTCTTGACATAAATTTAATTCCAGAAGAGGATCTGGATCATTTGGATTTGATGGTTGTTGATATGATAAAACAAATGTCTTTTGGTGTTGCAAAAAATATTTGACACCCCAATTATCGTCTCCCAATACTTTTGATAATGTAGAATAAAAATTAATACCTTTAAAAATACACTTATAATTTCCTGTTTTTGGATAATAATTATGTATATATCCTTTAAAAACACCAAAAAATTGACTTTCTGTACAACTAATCATAATTCGCACACTCCCAGCATGTTTTGAACTTTGTTTCAGTCTCTCCTTTATATGATAAACCAAAATTCGTCACATTTCTTCAATAGCTTTTTCAGGTAAATCGTACGCGGTTGGCTTCATAACATTAGCATCTTTAATTGTTATTTTATGATTAGCTAAACCAGAATGCCTTTTATAGATTTTTCCACATATTTCAAATTCAAACTTGTTGCAAAACGTGTTAGTTGATGGTTTAGACATAGGTATGTCGGCAATTGTCTACAAATAAAGTTTTAAAGTTTATTGTTAAACAAATACTATAATATTGGACGCGTTTTTTTAAAATAAAAAAGAAAATTACAATAAAATTTATATTATTTCTTACTCGTAATTTTTGATCGGTTCCTTTTTTTTTGATCGGTTTCTTACTTTATTACATATTAAAATATTTTTTATTCGGGGAGTTGTTAAATTTAGAGGAGACATTTGGGAATCGTCTGTACTTCTAAGCCACTAAAAACATATGATTTAAGTAACACATAACAAAAATGTGGTCCTGCGATCAGGCCCAATTTTTTTGATCAGCCGATATGCATATCGGAATTTTATTTTTTTACAAATTTTTCAAAAGGGTGCTTATATTTGGGTAAAATATAAATTAGGGGTGCTTATATTTGGGGGGTGCTTATATTCAGGACTTTACGGTATATACAAAAAAATACATGACAATAATAAAGCAAATAAAAGAATAAAGCTATAAAATAAAAAATGAAATTCACTTTACAGAAACTTCAAGTTTTCAAACAATATCATTTTGATATTATTTTGATATCAATTCAATATTGATTTAATATTGATATGATATTGAAACAAAATATTATCATTTCAATATCAAAATAATATCAAAATTAAAGATGTGATATGTAATTATTTTTAGAAGGTTGTAAAGTTACAACTATTACAACATACATACAACACTTTTGTTGTAATTACAACACAATATTATAATTATTATATAGTATTATAATTACTACTAGTATTGTAATTATTATATAGTATTGTAATTATTTTCAATTATACAAATATATATTATAATATATTAATCATTTCATTTTATTATGATATTTGTTCTATAAAAACTTAATTTTTATTTTTCAAAAAGAAAATTTTTAAATAATCATAAGTATTGTAATATTACAACATTTTAACTTTAAAAGTAGTAATAGGTTGCAACTCTTATTATTACAACACAAGGTAGTAATTATCAATTACATACTACATCTTTAATCAAAATAGTATCAAAATGATACTAAAATAATAATTGAAATGACATCAAAACAATATATTTAAGTTTAACTTAAAGATGTCATTTCAATATCATTTTAATTATTTTTTTAATATTATTTTGATATTAACTGAATTTAATATTGATTCAATATTAATATGATATCAAAATGATAATACTTTATTTTAATATCACATTTTAAATCAATATCAAAATAATATCAAATAATACCATTAAGATAAACTTAACAATATCAATTCTATATTGATTAAAAATATTAAGTTTTTGTAAAGCATGTAAAAAGTTAAAGAATGAAATGATGATGAAACTTACTATATCATATTAAAATTTATATTTTTTAATAAATCATATTATATATTATTTATATTTTAAATTTTATTTTAATTGGATTTAAATTGGTTGAAATACAAATAATCAATAATTTAAATAATATATAGTCAGTTACTCTTGGAAGATACTTAGTTATATTCAATTTTTACTAAAAGTTATATGAATAAAAAAGCAGTTAAAATTTTATTTGTATAAAAAAATTATAAATTTTTAAGCTTAATATTGGCTAATTTTTGCAAAAACCATAAATTTTAAATTTACTATAAAATTTATTAAATGCCTTTTATTTTTTTAAGTAAACTGATTTCTTATAAAAAATTACATATATTTATAGCATAGCGGACATGCTTTTATCACCTTGCCGATCATTTGTCAATCATATATATATATCATATCACTTCTACTTTGAAGCATCGGGTAAAGCCATAAATGCTCGGGCAAATTATACTAATTGTTTTTTTTTGTCAGTTTAATTTATGAAAAATATACTATAAAAGTATTATGGCAAAAAAAAAATGTATTGCCAAAGTTAGCCTTGAACCAAAATTTCCAATAATTTGATAATTGCCGATCATTTGCCGATCATCTGCTAATCTGATTTTGAAGCTTCGGGCGAAGTCACAGATTTACGGGCGAAACTTGAAATTTTTAAAATATATTATTTAGGTATTCAAGAATCAATGGTTAAAATAAACCAGCAGAATTTTAGATAAACCAAAAGTTATCATTAAAAGAATGTTTATGAATATTATTAAAATATATATTAGGAATATTAGGAAAAAATTTTGGCAAAATTTTATGAACTGTTTAAAGAATTATTTTTTGTTTTATTTATTTAAACAACAAATTTGATCATTAAAAATTGTATTGTTCATTTTTTTATAAATAGTCTTTAAAATTTTGTGAAGAAATACTCATTTTATTAGAATTTAAAAAGTTAGTACTAGTAAAAGTTGCCCAATAATGATGCAATCTTGATAAAATTTAATATGCAGTAAATCTAAATGAATATTAAGCTGTCTGTAGAATTTGAGTATATATTATTATGTAGAATTTTCAACCAAAGCCAATCAATTTAATTATAGTGAAGAGATAAAATTGAATAAATGATCGACAAATGATCATCAAAATTGTGATAAAATAGGGATGTCCGCTATGCTTATATTTATACATTTAAAAATAATATTTATATTTTACTAACAAGTTGCCTCTAAAGGTTGAAATTAAATTAGCTTTAATATAATATTAAAAAAAATATTTAAATAAGTAAAATAAGATTCTAAACAATAAAAATATATTAAAAATTATAATAAATAAGTAAATTGCATATATAACTTTATAAAAAGGTTTTTACATTATTTTTTACTGTAATTTTATTTTTAAAATTATTTAATATTAATATCAAACAAAAGAACAAAGTATTATATTAGCTTTAAAAGTAATGTTATAAATGTGTAATTTACAAAACTTTTTAAATAACTTTGCTTAACTCCAAAACTTAAAAAAAAAAATAATAATTTTCAGAATAATCAATATATCTATATAAACTGAAATGAAATATGAAATACTAATATACTACAAAAAGAATTAAAAATCTAAGGATTAATAGATAAATAAGTTATGTCATACTAAGTGTTACTCATAATTATAATTTTTAAAAATTGCGAGTAATTAGCTGAGTTTATAAATGATCAGAAATTTTCATTTAGTTATTTTCCAGTTTCATATAGATAGCTGGTAAATTACTAATTTTAGTTTAAAATAGTTAAAATAGTTAATATTTAATGAGTGACATGTTCCAGAGGATTACCTTATTATTTTTAACTGTCCATGAAATAAATAATACTAATAAAGTGATTAGCCAATCAAAAGTTGACTGGTCATCAAGACTGGTAGATCAGAACAGAAAATGTCTATATGATACCGTCATTAAACTTTTACCATACTGTATTACTACTGACTGTTACTACTGAATACTAATGCCTCCAAAAAAGACCAAAAAAACTGCCAAAAGCGATTTACAAAAAACCTCACAGAAACGAAAATACGTTAAAGATGAAAGTGAGGAAAGTTTACCTGCACCTAAATTGAGTCCTGCTGCATCTAATTTGAGGCATTTGTCTCACATTTTCAGTCAAAGTTCAAATTTTACAGAAGCCTTCCATAATCTTGAGGCTCTTAAGCTAGTTAAATCTAAAACCAACCATTTTGACCTTCCTAGTTCAGCATCTAAATTCTATCCAGATAATTTAAAGTTGCTAAAAATAACTTTTGTAGGGGCTTTAGCTGAAAAGGATGTTATACCTGAAGTTCCAGTTACTCAAATTCAAGGTATAAACTACATTATCACAGCAATCCCCTCAGCAATCCCCTCAGTGAACATAATAATATAATAATTTAAATATTTTCTAGCCATATTTCAAAAATTAGACAAATATCTTCTCCCTACTATTGATTCTGAAACACTTGGAAATCATAAATTCGATGTTACAACTCATACTGACATTACAAGTGAAAAAGTTCAAACATTTGTTACGAAATTGCATGATGTCGTAATAAATGGTGCTCAGCAGATAGGCATGGACGAAACCTTTACTGATACACTTATAGACGATCTACTTCGTATCGTCAAGCTGAATAACTTTCCTTTAATGATCAGGTAAATAACTTTTGTTTGTAATAAATAGATAAATATAATGATCGCTCTTATCGTGCATTCTTAAAATCCAGAAACCACCTGATAAGCAAAATATATATTAAAGGTAGTGGTATTGTGATATCAGACCCTAAATTTGTAATACAAAAGAAGGGAAAACTTTCTCTTCTTGTGGTAGAGGTCTGTGCGTTGACTGTTTGACAAGTTTTTGTTTTGTCCACTCAAGTAACTTTTTTTTTGCAGGATAAGCATCTGAAAAATATCACGTCAGCCACTGATTATGGAGAATCACAGATCGCTGCAGAAATGCTTGCTTGTGGTAGTGAGAATTTACGTTATCTTGGCAAAGATACACATACAGACCAGATAATATTGGCAATGCGTGTAATCTCTACATACGTAACTTTCTATAAAACTGTGATTAAAGCAGAATATTGGAAGGAACTTGATAGCGGGCTACCAAAAAAAGAAGAAGTAGAAATTCAAAGATGGCCTGCTAAGAATGGCTTAAGGGCTGGTTTCGATTTTGCTGAGCCAACTGATAGACAAACTGTATTTGAAATATTGGCCAAAATTCGGGAATCACTTTTAGTAGAATCTAATGATGAAGTTCAGACTGAAGCTGTTACAGCAGGTGTAAGTGGTTCAAACAAATAGTGAATTGTTTGCATATACAGTATGTTAATAATAATCTGAACATCTAATCAAAAATATCATTTTTTAATCTTTAGTCATGTAATCCTTAAATAATATACTGCATATATTAACAATATTAGAAATGTGAATTATATTGTTCCTGCTAATTTTTCATGACAAGATTTGAAGATAGATATGATTTTAAGTAACAAATCACTTTTAGTAAAAAAATTAGAATAAAGACAAAAACTTATTATCATGGTAAATTTATATAAATTTTATATTTATTATTAGGAGCCATGAAAAATATGAAATGTACATTACCGGTGATTACCTGAATCAGTTATTTCTAAATGCAAAGCGTATATTACAAATATGCCTAGAAATATTGTATATGATATTGGTCATTTTGATTTTGATGAACTGATATTTTTTGTTAATGGCTAAATAATTGATATTTTTTTATCAGCTAAATATCAAATATATTTGCAATCATATAGACTATAAACTAGAAAACGGGAACCCGTTGTAAGTCCAGAGCAAAAAACAAATTTGCGATTTCATTGGGCGACGATCACGTGGCAGACAGAGAAATTCACGTGATCAATTTTGTATTCGCTCTGGACAATTAATCCTTTTAATAAGTTTTACAGTTTAAATATATTTTCATAATACTCTTACATTAATAATAGTATGATTTTGCATAACTCAATAACCTAGTTATTGGTTGGTGGATAAAATATTGTGTCACCCCTTCAGGATGACGATTATTTTAAGATCCTGAATAGCTTTAAAACAAGTCATAAGATTTAGTACATATTTTTAATAGTAAAGTGAATAATAATACAAGTTAATATACAAAATATAAATTAAGTCTTATTTTACTACTATTTCATTATTTTGAGTAATTTTCTTCAAATTTATTGCCATCATTATCTATATCATCACTCATAACACTTGAAGCAACAGAATGCATACTTGCATCACTTTTTCTTCTTCCACTATTCCATACTGAACTCTTATTTTGTTTTGGTTTGGAAAAAAAATTTCCCAAACTATTTCCAATATTAGAATTCCAAGACCTACAAAATTGCAAATTTTTAAAGAAATTGTTGAATTATATATATCATTACTACAATAGTATTTACCTTGTACTTCTAACAGAATGAGAATCATTATCACGAGAATAATAATAAGCACAATCTTGCCTAAATATTCTAATTATTCCAGAATAATCAGCACAAACAATAATATTACCATCAGGATAAGTTTGAGTAGGAACATTATTATTATTAGCATTATTGTTTGTTTCATTATATGTATTTGTAAAAATTGGATCGCCACATAATGCAATCAATTGTTTTGTTCTTGTTGGTGCGAATATTGCTACCGTTACAATTGCGGAATGAGCTATAATCATAAAATTATTTAATTAAATTTACAATAGAAATTCTTAAATAAATGACTTCAAATATTTACCTTCAAAACTTTCATAACCAATTTTATCCTTTTTAAGCCAATTATTTCCACCACTATTTCCGTATTGAGCATTTAATTGTGATTGATTTGCGTTTAATATATATACGTGCCTATCTTCTGATCCACTTATAATGTATCTTCCATCATCACTATTGATAGTTAGTTTATTAATACCAAAGTAAAATCTATTTATAATCGGCTATTGATTCATACCTGAATGTAGCGCGAATTTGGCTACATGTATTTTCATAACCTTTATATTTACATTCCAATGATTTATCTCTCATATTGTACAATCGAATTCTTGAGTCATTAGAACTGATCAACAGCTATAAAAATTATATATAAATAAAATTTTTTATTCTTTTAATATAAAAACTAATTTACTCACTTTATCTTGACCCGGTTTGGTTCCTGGCATAGCTTCGATTCCGGTAATTTTCTTCCCTTGAGAATTTTTCCCACGAGAACTTTTTACATGAATTTGTGTATTATATTTTAATCCATCAGTTTCATAAAATAAACATAATCCCGAAAAACTTCCTGCTACACTCATTTTACCATCAAGTGTAAATCCTACTGCTGTTATTAGTTGTTGGTTTGGAACTTCATTCCAATGTGCTACTCTTTTCTCTGGAATATTCCAAAGTCTTAATTTACAATCCAATGATCCTGATAAAAAAAACCTATCGTCCTGAAGGAAAACGTAATATTTATTAGATATTGTATTTTAAAAAATAAAAACTAAAATATGGTAAATTACTTTTGGGTGAAATGCAATTGCCGTTACGAAATCCGTATGTTGAAAACAACATAAACATTCTTTTCGTGTAATATGCCATAGTCTGTACAAAATAAAATAAAATAAAGTAAAGTAAAATAAATACAATTAAAATTGAGGAGCTAAAAACTTCTTAAAGATTTACCTCACAGTTTTATCCATTGATGAGGAAAGTAAGAAATCATTTTTACTCCAACTTAAATCCAAAACATCAGCAGTATGACCAAGATATTCATATAATGGTTTGTCTCTGAATACTGGAGCTCCCAGTTTAGATCCTTTTGATCCTTCATAAACACTTGTTCCATTTCCCTCCAGAAAATGTTCCCGTTCTTCGTCACTCGATATAACAGCCCAAACTCTAACAACTGTATCTTGTCCCCCTGTTGCTAAGAATTTTCCATCTTTACTAAATTTCATTGTCCAAATTGCTCCTGATGTTTCATTTTGTGTTGCAAGACATAGTTCTTGTGCAAGAAATAATTTATCAAATTCTTTGAAATGTTTATGCCGTGTTTTAACCTAAAAAATCGCACTGTAAAATTAATTATTCTTTTTTAAACAAATTTCTAAATAAAGTACCTTTATATAACGTGGTTGTGCTCGACCAAAATCACTACCAGGTGTTTCGGTGCCAAATACAGGTGCATTATTTCCTGTCACGCCTTCTTCTTCTTCTTCTATTATATCATCTTCATCTTTTCCGGCATTCGATGACGTTCGCTTCTTTATACGATTAAGAAATTTTGATCGCCTTTTATTACCAAGTTTTTTTTTTTTTTTTAATTAATAAAATTAATAATTGAATTATTTGAATTACAAAACTTTTTAAATAGTCTTAACCTACTTGTTATAAGATCTCACGTCCTGATATTTCCCACTTTTTCCACCTTCATCATCACTATCATCTTTTCTTTTATGTTCATATTGATATTCATTAAGTGACCCCGATCTTTTCAAAATATGAAAAGAAAGTGGATCAATATTCCCATTATTTGACTTTTTAATTTCTTCTTCTAAATATGATGCAGGTATATTTTTTCCTGTATCCAAATCTTTAACATAAACTGTTACATCTATTGGTTCATTGTTATCAGAACTATTATTTGTTATAGAATCCTTATTATCATTTTGCGGGATATCAGTGTTTACTGATGATGCATCGTCACTTTCGATAAGTTGTTTATCATTATATTCATCATCGCCGTCACCATTTGACATGTCTGTAATTGAAATTTCTGGAACAGCTGAAAACTCATCTTTTGGAATATCCCGGGAATTATTTTGTGACGTCAATTCTTTATTATCTGACGATGATGAGAACATTGACACAATTCCACCAGCATTTCTTGCTAGAGAAGATAATATTGCAGTAGAATATCGATATGACGTTGGTTTTCCTTCAACATCCTCTACAAATGTATCTGATGCATCTACAAATGCATCAGCGTCACTTTCATTATCGGAACGATCGGATGCCATGACAAAGGATTTGAAGTTGTTGAATGACTTTTAATAAATATTCGTTAAAATAAATATGCTTAATTGTATTTTGTTACATTTATATACTAGTGTCAAAAACGTCACACGTTCAGTAAAATAGAATACAAATTTTAAAGGAAAAGTAAAAAAAAAGGTTTGTACTAAAAAAAAATTTACTAATAAAGTTGATATCATAGTAATGACGCTATTTCTTATTTTGATTTATTTTCACAGGCAGCCAATAAAAAATTTTATGGTAGATAATCTTACATGGGTAAATAAGTTTTGCAAACTTCTATATTAGGAAATATACAATATGAAACTCGGGGAATTTAATAACTTGCCCTTTATTAAATTACTTATCATTTATGATAAGCAGAATTGTCTAATTTTCAAAATAAATAATTAATAAAAAATATAAATTATACATAATATACATATATCACAAAAAAAAAAAAAAAAAAAAATTCATTTACATCATTACAATATGGACAATCTCCCCTTAGTCTATTAAAGGTTTGTGTTGTTGAAGGAATAGCGCGAAGCCACTTTGATGATAAAGAAAATTATACAATATATTAGTGCATGTTTATTTTACTTTAAAAATTAAAATACTCACTTCATATAAGCAAACTTGATGAAATGGTTGACCGCATTTAGCATTGCTACAAGTTTGATCTGGGATTACATCATCCAAGCGATAAGCGTAACAAATTCCACACGCGACGTTAAAATCTGAACTTTCTTCAGGAGAAGGAAAATTAATTTCTAATATTTTCTCAAGATTTTGACGTATAGAAAGTAAAAGATCCCAGTTGTTAAAATTCTTCGCAATATTAGTTCTAAGCGGTGTAATAAAACTTTCTGCGCCGAATAAAGTATAATCACATAACTTTTTTGGATTAAATTCATCCAACTTAATAAATAAAGAACAATGATTTCCTAACGCTATTCTTCGTGACATATCGCTACGTTTTGGTTTATCGGGTTCTAGTACCCATGTATTTGCATCAATGTCATCAAGCATTGACCAAACTTCCTGAAATTTTTCAACCTCCTAATTTAAAACGAATGAGGTTAAATATTTTGCGGGTGTAAAAATTTAAGTATTATTAGGCCAAATAAATAAGATAGTTAGTTTCTCATCAGGAAAAAATATCGAAAATTGACTTGCAGTTCGGGAAAATTAATTTTTAAAAGATAAGATTTAACCGATTTCTAAAAGATGAGGACAAAATCTGCATCATATGAAAATTTCATGACAAATACGACCTGATCTATGATGAGAAACTAGTTATTTTATTTATCTGAGATTTAGCTTACCTTTGAATAAAAAGAGATTATATCATTGAAGTTTATTGTTGGATTTGACATTTTAGATGCAGAAGATGGAAGATCTATCTGTACGGTAAGTGGTGTTTGTGGATAAGAAAACGACAAGGAAATGTAAATTTTATGTTTTCGACCTGATGAATCGCTATATAAAAGGGAACGTTTGATTACGATAAATACATAAAAAAAAAAGAACTTTATAAACTTAGAATAAAAATTCCTATACTTCAAGATTAAAGTTAGGGATTTAAGCGAAGGATCAATAGATTCTAATTTATCCCATCCAACAGTATCTAATTCTGACAAGAGTTTTGAATAATAACTCTCATCTGGCATAGGTTCACGCTTTTCTTTTGTTATAATACGTTCCTAATGGATTAAATAATATTTTAAATTATAGTCATATTTGTTTAAAACAATTATAATTACTCAACAAGTAAATCTTTAAGATCCACGAAGAACTCAGTCAAACTAGAACATTGTTCAAGGCGCTACTGATGTAAAAAGACTATTTTAATGTTATTAAAAAAATTTACCAATAAAACGTAAAAACACTTCTTTTTTCACCTGTTTTAAAGCTTTTTCATGGCCAAAAAGTAATCTCTTAAGTTCTGGACTACCATGTAATTTTGCATTTTTTAATGTTTTAACATTTTCCAATTGTATTTCGAAGGGAAGTTCTTGTCCCTAGAAATTGGATTTCGTTAAAACGTAAACAAACAAAATATTTTGTTTTATATACGGAAATTTTAAAGCATGATTACTTTGATGGTAATGAAACCTCTATAAGACAGCCCATCAACGTCTGCAAGAGCAAGAAGAGGAAAAATTTGTGTTTCCATAGTGTAAGATATCAGTTGAAAAATAATCTTGAGAAACTGTACATCATTTTGTTATCACCAAATCACAGCAAAATCGATTTGGATTGGGTTAGATCAAGTCGATCATTATTTAGTTAATCCAAAAATCCGCTGTTAACTATGTAAATCAAAACTATTGGCTGATGAAATTATCAACAACCGAACAACAAAAATATGGCTTTTTTTAATATATCTAGTGTCTAGTAAAGTTTTCCCTAAAAAAGTTTATGGTATTGCTTATTTGCCATTTTTAAAAAAGCAAAATATTTTATTATATGAAAATAAGGTGACCAATGTGATTAAAGTACTCAATTTTGATTTTGATCATATGATAAGATAAAGAGATTGATGAATTAGTAAAGTACTTGCAAAAAAAACATGGTTTTTATTATAGTAAAACTTGTTAACTTCAATCCAGAGTTGACAGTCTAGTATATGAAAATATAGGTTAAAACTAGGGATGTTAGTTTGCTTAACGGTTCAGTTTGAGTTCAGCTCAATACAACTTTGAGTCTAAAGCAAATTTAAACAAGCTAAAGCAATTTTAAAAAAACAAGTTGATCAATTGAGCTTAATTATGAATTAAGCACAGCTGTTAGACTAGATTTTCTTAAATAGCTTAAATGATTTATTAAATTCTGATATTGATTTATTTTCTTATTTATTTTCTGAATAATTTTTACTTCATACTATGTTTTTAGGCAAAGGCTTACTTTGATGATAATCTGTTATTGTATATTTTGTAACTGAAAACATTTATTTGCTCACTAAATACACTTCAGTTGTTACCCATAATCTAAGCTCATACTAATAAAATGCTAAACAAGCTTGAAGCACATTTTGAAGCACATATTAAAAAGTTTGAAAAAGCTTGTGCTCAAACTCTGTTTAATGTGCTTTGTTGAAGCAATTTAACATCCCTAGTTAAAATAGGTTATAAACACCAGTTGAACAATATCAAATCAGAAACCAATCAGGTGACTGAATTCCATCCAATTAGTCCCTATTTTTTTTCAATTTTCATCAATCAGAAAACCTAATTACTGCCAAAAAATGGCACAAAAAAAGGATACTTGGATTTTAATCAGAATATTCAATAGAGTACAATCAGGTATTAATAGTTACCAATAGGATATTTACTATTTAACATATTAGTATACCAATTGATAACTTTTTGATTAAATATCAATATACTGATTGATTACTTTTCAATTAATTTATAACAATGCATTTTTATTTAAAATTATTTAAAACTTACATTAAAATTACAAAAATCAGAAATACTAATTACTAAATTATTTACATTATTTGATAATTCTATATATATTTACAGGACTCTGATGAATAATACCAATATAACTCACAAACAGGTTTGTGTAGAGTTTATATGAAATTACTTTTTAAATCCATAAATTGAGTTTGCGTAGATCGGTCAATTTTGGGATAACTCACATATCACGTTTGCGTAAAGTTTATAAATATATTGTATTATATGTTGATCAATTGTATAATGATAGTAGTATAAAAATTAAGTTGCACAACACCATTAAGGATGAGTCCGTAATATATTTCTAAAATTTGCAATATTACGGATTTTGGTAATTAATTATATATAGTAACAAAAAGTAATGCATTTTGCATTATTTTAACAAACTGCACTACTTTAACAAAAAATGGTGAATTTCGCACCATTTTATTAATATTTTAATAGAAAAAAGTGTGAAATGCACAATTTTAATAAATAATTAGTGAGTTTCATATCATTTTATTAATATTTTAATATAAAAAAGTGCAAAACGCACCTTTTTAACAAAAAATGGAGAGTTTTGCACCATTTTATTAATATTTTAATAGAAAAAGTGTGAATAAATACACCATTTTAACAAATAAATGGAAAGTTTTGTACCATTTTATTAATATTTTAATAGAAAAAGTGCAAAATGCATCATTTTAATGAATAAATGGAAAGTTTTGCACCATTTTATTAATATTTTAATATAAAAAAGTGCAAAACACACTATTTTAATATAAAATGGTGAGTTTTGCATAATTTTATTAATATTTTAATAGAAAAAATGTGAAATGAATTATATTAGTAACAAAAATTTTTTTGAACTAAGATTTGGATTTACGTAGCATTACTATGAAAAAAAAGTTGCATAGAGTTAATAGTAAATGCATGCCGATCATTTGTGAGTTATATAGCATAGCGGACATCCCTATTTTATCACAATTTTGTTGATCATTTGTTGATCATTTGTGTGATCTTATCACATAATACAAGTGCTGTCCGTTATTTATCAACAAATAACAGGGAAAAATTTTAGTTAATATACATGGCAAAATAAAATAAAATAAATAATTTACTTTTATATTTTCAAGATCTAAATAAAAAGATTTTGTTTTTTTATTAAAAGTCCATTAATAACAAATAATTAGCTAAATTCTCTATAAGTAAAAAACCTGTATTATAGGCTGAAACCCTGTATTATTTTTTTTGTAAATTATATATGATAAAAGGAATGTTTATGCAAAGTTTTAAGTTTTGGCCTTGCATATTCGGCTCTGGCCATCAATTTTTGTCCAGTGATCAGCCAAAATTTCAAATTATCACATATTAATAATATAGTATACAAAAATTAAAGAATTTATATGTAAAAGTACAAAAGCTTCTATTATATAACTAATTTATTAAAACTCTAAACCAGTTTCCTATCTATAAGATTACTCCTATACCCTACTATTACCTTATAAAATTCACTTATATCCTTCAATAATAGTTATTGAATTATATAGAATCACTATTTCATAAGGCTTAAGTAAATACTTTTACTAAAAAAAATAAGAAAGATTATATTATATTTGTATATTTTTGTATTATTATATACCTTCCAAAATACTCTGTTTTATATCTTATATTTAATAAATACTATTTATAAATATTTAATAAATACTTTGATAAACATTATAATGGAAGGTTAAGATCGTTCCTAAAAAAAATTTGAAAATGGATCATTAGTAATATTTACTAATATTTCTAATTTAAAAAATTTTTCCTTCCCCTTCTTTTCTATTTACCTTCTGAAATATTTCATTAGTTCTGAAGTGTCTTAAGAGTCCTACAATAAAAAAAAGTAATGGAACATTAGTAATGTTAACTAATATTTCTAATTTAAAAAAATATATCCTTATCCTCCTTTTTATTTACTTTCTACGATGTTTTATTTTACAAAGATATAATGAAAATTTTACTTTGATTTTTTAAATGTGTTATGTATTTTATAAGTGATATGACTCAATATAATTAATAAAAAAAATTAATTGTTTTAACATTTTAAGAAAATATACTTAAAGTTCTTTAAACAATCAAATAAAATGAATTATAATATTTATTAATATATATTAATAAAAAATTACTAAAAACACTATAAATTATTAAATCAGCTATAAATTGCTATAATTTTATTATATTCATAAAATAGTTAAAACTAACTATTATTCTGGTTTAAATCCTATAGTAATGCAAGTATTAAACAATTTGCAATATAAGTATAATGGTAAAATATCAGGAATAATGTGATATTTTTATATTTGTTATTTATTTAAGAAACTTTTTAAATATATTCTAAAATATTTTTTGAAGAATAGATTTAAAATTTGTTTACTTGCCAGTATTTTATACTATTAATATAAAAAATCAAAAAAAAATTTAATTTTTTTACTTATTAGTTCTATATTAAAAGAGATTTAAATTCATCTAAAAGAAAGAAAAGAAAATAAAAATAGTAATGATCATTAATATAAAAAAAATTGATTCTTTTTACTTATCAGCAGTTTTATGTTTAGAAAAATTCAAAAAAAAATACCTAAAAAATAAAAAAAAAATAAACAATTAGTAAAAATAAAAAAAGGTTGATTTTTTTTTTTACTTGTTAAAAGTCTCTATTTTAAAAAAGAAAAAAAATGAAATATTAATTAATATTTAATGTTTTATTGAAATTAACACATATTTTATAAATTTACATATATTATTATCCTGTCAATGATTAAAGCTAACTGAAAAATTTCAACACTTTAACAGGTTAATTAGAGTTTAACTTAATAGGAGAACTTTAAGTTGATTGCGTGAAATAACATTGGATATTCAGTTAAAAAAAATAGGTTTTTATCAAAATAATGTAAAATTTTAGATACAACAAAAAATATAGATAATCTCTTAGTTGCAAAATTAACTATTTTGAATTATATTACTGGGAATAATACTCTTTTCATATAATTCGAAAACTACAATATGATTCTCAACTATCCATAAAGACTAACTGTAAAACTAACAAGCTATTCCTTCAATTTGGTAAAATCCTATTACTATTTATAATAAAATAAAAATTAAGAATATTTAATAAAATAAATAAATATAATAAATAAATAAAATAAATGAGATAAAATAAATATATCAAATAAATAAAATATAACAAATAAAATAAATAAAATTAATAAAATAAATAAATCAAATATATTAAATTTATCAGATTTATCAGATTTATCAAATAAATCAAGAAAATCAAGAAAATTGAAAAAATCAAGTGATATCTATAAAATTGATCTACATAAAAATTACTGCACCACATTTCTACTTTAACAGTATTATGTATAGAAGAATAAGAGATTAAAAAGAAAGTAAAAAGAAGTAAAGAATATATATTTGGAAAAAAAATTGATAATTAATTAATATTATATTATATAATAAAAATTTCTTAATAAAAATTTTTAAGGATTTAATAATTTATAAAATTCTTAAAGATCTTTATAATTTATTGAAAGATTTTTAAAGAATCTACAAATTATCAGATTTTTAAAAATTCTAAAATATTTTAAAAAATTCTTAGGGATTTACATTCAAAAAAAATTACTGATGTGTATATTTCTAAAGAATATTATCAGTTTATTATCTCAAAATAATTACTAAAAATCAATAATATAATTAATATAACTATAAATTACTTGGAATATTTTTACTTATTCTTTTGGATATTATCAATAATAATTAAGATGATATTTGTAGACAGGTAATCTCACTAGATCCAGTATTTATATATTTATAACAGCTTATAACCTTGATCAATTAATTGAGTAAAATAATGGTCAGTAGTGATAATAGTAATATCAATAAAAGGGTTGATCACCCTTGGCTCATTGGTTAGTCCGTGAGCCCCTTGTGAAGCCTGAGTATATGGTAAGGTCGCAGGTTCAATTCCACCGATCACGGAAATAAAAGAATTTTACTGCAGATACTACTACCAATAGTGTGAAGGTACAGAGATTAGACTGCATCATAGTGAATTAGTATGTACTGGTTGGCGTCAACAAAGGGTCATGGTGTCCTCCTAGCGTTCCCTATGAGGCCATTGAGAAGCCTATTGTCCTATCTGGATAGTCACTGCTTGCATACCATCTGGGTAAGCTCATGTCTTGGTGGTCACTCTATGATACCACTAAGGGTGTGGTAAACTTTACTGTGAGGTTTACTACGCTAGATGGTCCTCATAGATGATAAAGTCTTAAGTGCAATGTTTTAGCAATAGTTTACCTTCTAATAGGTTTAGACTGATTGGAGACGTTCGTAGACTCACAGGTATATAAGGTTCTAAGGTAAGGTTCGATTCCTCAGTGAATTTGACGTACTGGTGGGTGATCCCTGGGTAACTGGGTTGGTTACTTATAATAAAGGGATGATCCCAGTACCCTTAGCAGCTTACTGTCCTGGTAGTCATTACTATACTACCAGAGGATTTACAACTATGGTAGGCTGGTATGGTAATCGTGGCCTGTAGTGGGCTTTGAGTGAGGCCATATTAGTAGTCTTAGTATTGCAGTACCTCTAAGCTAACCATCATGAAAGGATTTTTAGATGTCTGCTCCGTTATATCTGCCGTACGTGGATGGTTGTTCACTTCTGACAGGCACTAGTGGGTAGCATAACTGTGTCAGAAATCCTGCTGCACTAAGATCCATCTGTGTGTGGGTATAAACTTGGGTTGTCTTTTCAGTGTGGTATATAGGGAGTAGAAGGGATGAACATCCGGTTACTTCTAAATAATTAAAGTAGGTTGTTTGGTTATCTGTCGCTCAACGGTAGGAGTGCATTACCGCAACTGGTGTTGTAGTACTCCCTCCATGTAGCTCTGGTGAGCCGGCTATACTGATGTCTTCTAAAACATAAAAAAAAAAAAAAAAAAAA